CACCCAGTATCCTGATCTGAGGGATGGAAACATCTTTATTTCATCCTCTGACACAACTCTGTAGTGTGTAATGTAAAGAAATAACAAAATCAAGGCTTACACAGGGCGAGTGACTCACCCAAGCCAAAGTCGATTCAAAAAAGGTCAGACTGTCTCTGAAATAAACTGTTTCCCTCCGTGCCTCACCCTCCTCAAATGGAGAAAAAAGAAGAGAAGCACCTTCAAGAAGTTTCAACTCCATGCATCTTTCTGCTCAGATGTCTTTAGCGTTTGTAAAGATCTGTCATCTTCTTGATGTTTGACCGTCTCCGTCTTGATGGAAGGTTCTGACCCTTATCAGCTGCTTGCCCTCAGGTCCGGGCTGTGCCGAGTCACAGGGCTCTGGCTCCAGCTGCCGTCCCTGGAGAATGTGCTCAGATAAACGCTTTTGCCGTGACTTGCCTTGTCCTCTGGCTGCATTCCATAGACCCTCTTGACACACATTCCCCTACCTTGACATGGCTCACATCTGTCTTTGCTCAGTGATTTTACTAACTGAGATTATTTTCATGTTGTTAAAATCAGAATCACACTTTCAGTTGCTATTTATTCCTGGGAACTGCATATTAAGATAATTATTTTTATCGTGCTGATGATAAAGTCACTAGTCATACATTTTATAGTCCTAGTGCGTGACTATTAACTCCATAGCTTCCTGCCTTGAGCCTCTCGGTGAGGACAAAAGCGAGTTTTCTGAGAGTGAGGAGATGCGAAGGGGCTGGAGATGAGTACAGTCTGTGACACCGTCCGAGGCGGAGGCCAGAGAGAGCCAGTGCGAGCAGCAGAGAGGGCCTGCGAGCAGCCAGGAGGGCCGCACCGAATCGGGAAGGGCTGTCTTTCCCAGGGCTCCCGCTCCCCACGGAGTGTCCTCAGCATGAGCTCTCACCCTGAGTCTGGCTCCCCTGGAATGTGGGCTCCTGATATTGGGAGATAGAAGTAAGCTCATTTGTAAACATTTTACACTTCCAAATTAACCAAGAACTTGGTTTTAAAAGCTAAGCACAGGGGCCGGCCCGGTGGTGCAGCGGTTAAGTTTGCACATTCTGCTTTGGCGGCCCGGGGGTTGCCAGTTCAGATCCCGGGTGCAGATATGGCACCGCTTGGCACACCATGCTGTGGTAGCCGTCCCACGTATAAAGTGGAGGAAGATGGGCACGGATGTTAGCTCAGGGCTAATCTTCCTCAAAAAAAAAAAAAAAAGCTAAGCACAGACACTGCATCTGACCATGTAGGGGAAGTTATTCTTTTTGAATGCAACCTTGAGATTCATTATAGTGTGGTGAAGCTTTATGACGGAGCTTTATGAATTCATTTTTTATAATGAATCATCATCGAGTGGAAAGGTAAGTTGAACAATGAATAATTCTGTACACTTGTCACGTGCAGAGAAGGGAACAGTAACTGCAGCCTCTGCGTGTATGGAACAGCCTGATGTTGCTCTTGGATAAAGACCAGAACCCTTCACGCAGCCACTGGGTCTGCTCCTGCAGCCTTCTGCTGCCCCCTCTCGCAGCGTTTGAGCTTCCTGCTGTCTGCTCTAGACACAGGGGCTCTCAAACATTTTGGTCTCAGGACCTCTATTCTTAAAAATGTTGGAGGACCACAGAGAACTTTTGTTTATTCAAGTTATATCTACTCACATTCAGTGCATTATAGCCAGCCCTGGAGGTCTAGTGGTTAAGATTTGGCACTCTTAGTGCTGCGGCCCAGGTTCATTTCCCAGTCAGGGAACCACACTCCTTGGTCCCCCTCCCCACTGTTGGTTGTCCTGCAGCTGTGTGTTGCTGTGATGCTGAAAGCTATGCCACCGCTGTTTCAAATACCTGCAGGGTCAATCGTGGTGGGCAGGTTTCAGTGGAGCTTCCTGGACAGACTAGGAAGAAGGACCTGGCCGCCCACTTCTGCCAAGATTAGCCCTGAAGACCCTAGGCATAGCAGTAGAGTGTTGTCTGATTTAGTGCCGGAAGGTGAGAGAATGGTGCAAAAAGACTGGGCAGGTTCCGCTCTGCTGGACACCGGGTTGCTAGAGGTTAGAATCTACTCAACAGCACTAACAACCACAAATTTACTATATTAGAAATTACAACTAAGAATCTAAAAATATTTGTTGAAAAATAATAAAAGTTTATTCCATGTTAACAAATATTTTTATGAAACTTATGTTTTCCAAAATAAAAATAATTTAGGGTAAAAAGTGGCATTGTAAATCTATTTAATGACGTAATAAATGAAGGTGGATTCTTATCCCTGCTTCTGCATTAGAAACTGAAAGTGAGATAGCATACATCATGTAGATTCTAGAAACTTCCACTGTACACTCCTGAGAGAATGCATGTGAAAAGGCAAATAATGTCTTAGTATGACCAGGAAATAGTTTTGATCTTACAGGCCTCCTGAAAGGGTCTTAGGGCCCTCCCAGGATCCTGGACCATACTTTCAAAACCACTGCTGTAGACTCTTGGGCCTTCACTTGGTTGGAAATAACTCAGTAGGGTGAATGACAGGCATCATGGGAAATGAGGTTGGAAAGTTAAGTTGGGGCAACAGTATATCCTGTCTTATTTGGACATTCCTCAACTTCTGGCAAGGAGCTGAGCATTCCTGCCAAAAGGCAGGCAACAATTGAGGACATTCCAAAGCCCACTCTGAATTTACCCTGCTTCGTATTTCTCAAAGGGCTTTTTCAAGCATTGTCTCATTTGATCTTTATTGTAACTCTATGAGAAAACCAGGACATCTGTTGTTCTCCTTTTTCACTCAAGGACATAGAGATGTTCAGTGGCTTGCTCAAGCTCACCCAGTTCCTTAAAGGACCCTGACCCCACGCCTCGGATCCCTAAGTCCTTCCCCTCTGCAGGGCGTCTGCCTTCATTGTGAGGCTGACCCATGTCCCCAGGGACCGGGTGATGGCAGTCATGAGCAGAAGGAATTGGAAGCATATGGTCAAGCTCACTTCTATTACAGTGACTCAGGTGTGCACCACTGCATTCCCATTTCTGATTCTTTAGCAAATAAAAATAGTTAATGTATGAGAGAGGGTCAGTTGTATGCTTTGGCCAGTACAATTGAAGTTTGCATGTCCACAATGAGAAGGAAATTCACCATTCATTACCAGGACTACAGAGACTAGATTAAACAAAATGCCATCTACAACCCAAGCTTTTAAACTTTTTAAGTATTCAAAGGACATTAGGAAGACCTTGCACGGGCACTTTTCAAGGCATCCACGACTTGGATAAGACAGGAGGGGGCTGCGGATCGAGTGCTGACAGCCTGGCTCATCTCTGGTCTTTGTAGGCATATCTGTTATGATTTCTTCCAGTGCCCTTTAAGCAACTGCTCTCATTGTACCATGTGCTGAGAGGAAGACCAAAATCCTTGAATTTATTCTAGGCTACTTTTTGTCCTATCCCAAATTGCAGTCTTTTTTACACTTTATACCATGTTGACTTACACTCTTATTCATTCTTTCCTTTGAAGATTGGGTCTGCACAGGGTGGCCAAACAGTTCCAAGAACCATTCTGACAGTAACTGTCTTGTTTTTTAATTGTAGTAAAATACACGTAAGATAAAATTTACCATCTTAACTCCTTTTAAATGTATAGTTCAGTAGTGTTATGTCCATTCCCATTGTGCAACCAACCTCCAGAACTCTTTTCATCTTCCCATTGAACAACTCGCCGTTTCTCCCTCCCCACGGGCCCCTGGCAACCACCTTTCTCCTTTCTGTCTCTATGCATTTCACTACGCTAAGTACCTCATATAAATGGAATCCTAGTATTTGTTCTTTTGTGACTGGCCTGGTCACTTAGCGTGATGTCCTCCAAGTTCATGCATGTTGTGGCATGTGAAAGAATTTCCTTCCTTTTAAAGGCTGAATGATATTCCATTGTGTGGCTAGACCACATTTTGTCTATCCATTCGTCTGTCAGTGGACTCTTGGGTTGCTTCCACTTTTTGGCTGTTGTGAATAATGCTCCCATGAACACGGCTGTACAAATATCTCTTTGAGACCTTGCTTTCACTTCTTTTGAGTTGACGGTAGCTGTTGATGGAATTGATTAGTACTGTACGTCTGCAAGGGCGAGGCCCAGGAGGCCCCACTGGACCCAAGAATCACAGAATTTCTCTAGCATGACATTGGGCAGAGTCTGGTTTTCCAAGGTGGCTGCTCATGTGGAAAGCCTATGACGGATGAGCTGTTTAAACAAAGGCCCAGTTTGGGGAGTTTCATCTACTTGAAAATATGTTTTATGTGATTTGTTTTTTTTTAAAGATTTTGTTTTTCCCTTTTCATCCCAAAGCCCCCCGGTACATAGTTGCATATTTTATTTGTGGGTCCTTCTAGTTGTGGCATGTGGGACACCTGCTCAGCACGGCCTGATGAGCGGTGCCATGTCCACGCCCAGGATCTGAACGGGTGAAACCCTGGGCCACCGCAGCGGAGCACGCAAACTTAACCACTGCGCCACGGAGCCGGCCCCCATGTTTTATGTGATTTTATGCTGTAAAATTTCTGTCCTAATAGAGTAACTGTCATGGCTTATAGGATTGAAAAACACTGTATCCTAGAAGTTTTATACCAAATAAATTTTTTTCCTGGGCCTCTATAAAAAAAGATGATAATAACTTATTTCTTTGGTCCTTTCTTTGAATACTTCAAATTCTGTTCTATGGCTCTGACCTGTAGTGCATCTGAAATGGGTTATAATTTATATTCTTTAAGAATGTATAATTAGAATTGTTTTAGTCAAATGCCTATTGGAATGTGTAAAGAATTTTGCTGGTTTTCTGATTCTGACTCTGCATCAGCCGAGGTCTTTACCTTGCAGTAGTCCCTGCCCCTGCTAGTCCAGACTTGCTTTAATTATTTTCATGTCCCTATATATTCGTACAACTCTTTCATAGTCTTCTGGAAACGTCTCTCAACGCATTCAGATGTGGCTTGCATGTGTTCCTCTTGTTTACAGCTGCTAGGTGACAGTGTTACTGACAGGTCCCTTTGGATCTCTCATGAATTGTCTACTTTCTTTTTCTGCAGCAACTTTCTCCTCAACCTCAACCAGTGTCTTGTCAGTGGGGCAGTTTCTAGAAAGGAGGGAACACTTGTCATCGTGCTTAGTATGGGGTAAGTTACCACCAGTTGTTGAATGATTCCTAAACTATGTTTTCTTCTCTGTTTTGCTCACCCTCCCTGTCTCACTGCCTCTCGGAACGTGGAACGTGGACTTGCCCATCATCTGGAAAAAATGTTGTCTCTGGGCCTTGGGACGTGGAAAATGTGGGTGAGTCCTGACATTAATGTTTAAGCTGTTGATTTTTCTCTTTGTGGAAGAAAAAAATTGCCAAATGAAATTGTTCGGTGGGAAAATCTCTTCAGCATCCCAGTGCCGTGTGTGCGCACCACGTGAGCCTTCGGTCAGAGTGAACCCTCCTGCATTAGAGGGAGAAGTCCTGAGGTGTACTGGGAGGAGTCCCAAACTCAGTGAAACAAAGACGAATCACATTCCATGACAAAAGCTGATATTTACACCTTTGCTGTTGGTTTTCTTTTGTGGGGGCGGGGGCGGGGGCGGGGGCGGGGGGCAGATGGCTTATATGATCTTGAATAATACTTCTATGTGAGTAATTTGAGAATATCCCACATAGTTTGAAATGGAATTTTCTAAGGCTCCTGTTCAGTTGTTTCTATAAATCACATGCCTCAAATATTCAGAGTTAGCATTTATGGCAGACACAAATGTATTTATTTTTGTGATGCTGGCATTGTTTTGAATATAAACACTTTGGAAATGGTACATTGTTGACACATTTATATTAAATGAATCTTGACATGAAAGCTTCCTCCTTCAAGTGGTTCTTAGTAGATGGTTTCAAAACTCAAGGTAGCAAAACTGTTCAATATCAGACTCGCACTTTCTTCTTCCAAAACTGGGTGATAAGGGTGTACTCAGCACTCGGCTGTTCTGCATATAGGGCTGAGTGAGAGGGTTTGTCTGCTGGTGGGTTTTTGCTATGGAATGGAGACTAGACAAAAGGCAGATTTTGAAAACAAAATATAGATTTTTAAAGACTTTTCTTTTTAGTTCTTGAGCATGTGGAAAGGAAGATTCTGAGAAAAGCCTTTGATTAGCATATTATAGAAGTGGCTTCTATACTTTTCTTAAAGTGCTTAGCATGACTGATTCCTGGAAAAAAAGAAATCAGGTGACATATAGCTCTGTAGGAAAATCATTCTCTTGGTTATCATTTCCGCTTTGCTCCTGAGTTTCCTTCTAAATACATCAGACTGAAAGTCCCTGCCTCGCCGGCTGCGGTGGCAGGGTTTCACTTGCTGGGAGCAAACACATTTGTTGTTGCAATCTGTTATTTCTGAAACTTCCATAATTATATTGAATGTTAGCATGAAATTTGGCATCAATGTTTGTAAGATTTTTCTATTCTGGTGTAAGTAATTTGGGAATCTTTATCTTAGATGATTTAGTTACCCATAAATATCCTCAGGAATCTGTGTCATTTGAGTTTAGTCTGTTGAGCTGTGAGTGGTTGATTTGACACAATTACCACCTAATCAGCTGCTTTGCCTGTTGGGTTATGTGATGATTCTTCGGTTCCACATCTAAAATCTCCTTTCAGGATTCACGTCATGTGCTTCCCTCTGTGTATCTCTTTGGGTCTTTTCATCTCCCTCCTTCTCGCAAACGATAGCCAGCAGGACGGTCATCGTCAAAATCTCATTTTCTCTTCCAGTAATAATCAGTAGCCAGAACCTACTTCTTTTAAATTGATCATGAGCCACCTCTTGTGACTTCTCCTTTTGTCTGGTACCTTCTAAGCCTTCTGAAGATAACACTGTATTTGTGAGATGTTCAGAAAATCTTCAGAAATCTCTGATCCTAAAAGCAGCACAGTCATGGCTGAGCTGACCCTGCTGCCGCACGTGTGAGCTCCTCGTCAGCCGCCCCCTCACCCCTCTTTCTCAGGCCTCTTTCTATTGAGGAATCTTTTGACTTGAGGGTAGTTTGGTTTTCTTATTTGCTTTGTTCTATTTATAGAGAGGAGCTTCCATTTACAGGCTGGCCCTGCAGACTGAAGAGCTTCTGGTTTGGTCAATAAGAGCTCATTTTCTTAAAAAAAAAATAGCAGGTGGATTTGTCACAGTGACACGGTTAACATGATCACATATTATCATCCCCTTCATGTTCAGCATCAACCTCCTCGTTTCCTCCCCCTTGTACTGCGTTATGGACTTTACGGGGGTCCAATTTAATTTTCATAACAACCTGATGATACAGGAACTTTTTATTGTCTGATTTTATGGATGAGCAAACTGAGGCACAGCTTTACCTGTCAAAAGCCACCAGGCTCATATTCATAAAATGTTTTCACTGGACATATTTTCTTTTAACCAGTTTAAGATACTTTTTGACTCTTCTCTACCTCCAAAGACAGAATTTTGGTGCCTCCCGGGCGATACTTTGTCGTGTACAACTACATTTGTCTTTTATCTGGCAGTTATGTAAAGCTCTTTCACAAGTCAAAAGTGACAATCCTGTGGTGGCTGAGGGGGGACAGGAGCAATTATAGTAAAAGACGTGTTAGTAGAGTGATTTGCCCTGTGAAAGGATTTCTCTTTCTAGAGAACTTGGTAATATCTTTGTATCTGAGGGTATAATCATACTTGAATAGAACTAACGGTAGTTTTGGAGGAAAAATCAAACAGAAGGTAATCATTTTCCAAATTCAGATAAATCCTTGTACCTACAAATTCCATTTGGATTTTTGACTCTTGTTTTTGAGTGTTATTGAGTTTCTAAATCTCATCATGAACTTCTCTAAATAGCTAATTTTCTGCTTTATTAGTCTGGGTAACAAGGCTCTTCTCAAAATCAGGTAGACAGGAAAAGCAGAAAGTTCTCTTGGTCAGCTGGCTTGCCTTGCTTGACTCTCTCAGGGTACATTGATGAGGGTAGGAGTTAAAGGAGCTAAGCCGTGGAAGTGTTTGCCCAGAATGCTGATATTTCCAGTTGCCGAAGGCACGTGCGGATCCTTATCACATCTTATCTGAGTTTTGAACAGCTTGTGCTAAACCCTTCTTTTCATCTTCATTCCATCCTCCATTGGCTCCCGAGAGACCTATCCAAACTGTAGATCCGATCATGTTTCTCTCTTGCGCCCCCCAGTGGGCACCATGTTGCTCATAGTGGTGCTTCTCCATCATAGTGTTGCAGCAGACTCATGAGTGTTGATCAGTTGTGTGGGTGTCACAGGTAAGGTGTACTAATAATAAATAGTGTATTAAAGTATTTGTTTTCTTAAATAAATAGACTGGATTCAAGTCTGCCCCTACGGCAATGTTGTTTACACTTTTACTCTGTTTTATTTCTTGAGTGTGTTTGGGAGGGAGACAGGGAGGATGCCGTGGCTGGCTAGGTACCAGGGATTCTGTAGTCGCTAGCCTTGCTTATCTGTCCCGTCACCGACTGGTTCCTGGTGGAATAATTCTGTTTATCCAGAGCTTCTGTAGTACTTGGGAGTTGTGATTTTGTAGTTATTAACTTTGTCTATGTAATTTCACTCATGGGTCATTTCTAGGTAAGAAGGAAGACAAAGATTGATAAAGTAATGAAGCTATGAACATTCTTATCCTTCACAACAGTAGTTTATCATTACCAAACAAACGGCAAAGTGATGATAAACGTAAAACTCGCAAGAGGATAAGTCATATAAATAAAGTTAAAATCTGAACATTTCATTTGTTTCACTAACAATTAATAACATATTTACTCTTTGATAGTCGATGTTTATTTACCTTTTCAAAATTACCCATGTAATGGAGGTCTGAAAAAAAAGACAAGATGCTTCTTTTAAAATAAAACAAGATATTTTGAAAAATCTTATGCACTGAGGATTTCTCTTATACAATGACTGATTTAGCATACATTAATTAGATGATGTCCTTACTTACATGCTGATATAAAGGTGTTATCAATACTATGCTCAGCCTCCCAAAATGTCTGTGCTACTCTTTGCTTTATTTTCACAAATAATTTTGGTAGAGGTGAGGAGTTGGAAAAATCTAGAAGTATAAGTTGCAGGGGTAAGTCATCTGTCTTGGGTCTCAGTCTAAAAAGAAAAGGTCAGAAATGAAGCTCGGTGGTATGACTTGCAAGTTTTTCCTGATCCTGTCACTGCCACCAGATGCCATGTGCCATTTGACTTTTGGCCTCATCCTTTTCTCACGTGTCACTCCTGCTGTGCCCGTTGGTGTGGCTGCCTTTAGCATCCCAGGAACCCTCATGTATCCGTGACTTTTCTCATCCTCTGCTTTTTGCCTCCAACTCCTTACCTTCTCTTTATCTAGTAACTCCTGCTTGTCTTTGATGCACACCTCTACGAGAAGCCTATCCTGATACCCTCTGCTCCCCGTCCCCGGATGTGAGGGTCCACTGCTCTCTTCCAGCGCCCTGCGTGTGCCTCTCTCACACGTCCTGTCTCTCACACGTCTTTGCATATTGTAAGGGAGTCATGGATTTACCTGCATATTCCCGCTACTGTTTTATAAGATTGGAAAGAACTGGGACTTCATCTTTTAATAATTTCTTTATGCCTAACATCTAAAATTTGTTAGGCCGTCACAGATTGTGTTCCTTGAGAAGCAGACTGTGCAGTGGACCTTGGCAGCCCAGGCGTTTATCAGTGAGTGCTGCCGGGACTGCTGCCAAGGAAGAAGACAGGTGTGGGCAGAGGGAGAAGTTGGGCTGAGTTGTGGTCCCCACCACAGGCTTCAGCCCCCCCGTGGGGAGCCCTGGAGCTGGGATGACGTCCAGGTGGTTTCTAATTGGAACAAGAGGGCCCCAGCATTTTTACCCCCACATAGATGGGTCATTTGGGATGTGGGACGCCCTGGAAGGAGGGTGACCTGGACAAGGCAGTTTCTTCAGTGGAAGCCGTCACCCAAGCTGGCCGACAACTGAGGGTTGCCTTCTGGCATCACTTCTAGCAGTGGAGGATTATAAATCCTTCCTTCCGGGAAGCGGGTCTGGGCAGTGTGTCCTAGTGTCCACCATGTAGGCACATAACTTTTTTGTGAAATTAACTGAAGGGCAAAATGCCTGTGAATTTGGGAAATTGGGGATAAGAGGAGGAAATAAAATACGTAGGCAATTTCTACCTGTTCTATTAATAGAAGTGGTTTTAATAAAATGGCTTTCCCTCGGAATAAGGAGATATGATTTTTTAAAGACCCCTTAAGCTTTAAGCTTTCCAGTCCTAAAAGCAGCAA